TAAGAAATCGAGATTTGACTATATGTTCTTTCAAAATGTGAGTGTGAAATTGCAGAATGGAAAACCTTTTCAAAAAGTCCTCCAAGGAAGGCCGAGCCTCTGCTGTTAATGAAGAACCAAAATGAAGGATATGGAGTGAGGCGACAAGATGGCGACCACATATGATTTGAGTTCTAGCCGCCCAAGTCCTGATGAATTCTTTCTTTTTAGAGGTGCTTTCCGCAGGCAATTCTTGGTCAGCCTCTCGGTAAAAGAAGAAAACACCCGTGTCAGTGACCCTTCCCGTAATTCTTTCTGCTGCCTTCCTGGAATAAAACTAATCTATCGTTTTGGGGAGACTCTTTTCATGTGTTTGCTGATGTGCATTTAAAGGGTTTCCTTTAAAATTGTTTTTTTAATATGGATGTTTCAGTGACCAAAAACAGAAGAGTTCGGTTTCTACTACTGCAAAGAACATGTTCACCTTGTGGATAGCAAAATGGTTGAGCCTTTTTATACACTCCCCAAACCACCTCCAATCATTTGTGCAAATTAACACAGAGCTAAACTTGGAAACCTGATCTAATAATTCAAAGTAAAATAATTAGGAAATAAGCATGGTTGTTAATTATAAGTAAAATGAAATATTTTCATTTTAATTTAATGCAGAATTTGTTCAATAATAATGATACATATTTACAGAAACTGATTTGGAAACACAGGAATTATAAATAATGGGAAAAGAAAGTTTTCCTTTTTAATCTAATATGCTTAGTCAATATCTTAAAGGTTGGCAAAGCCAAGAGCTGCAGACCCAAGGCAGCTGGCAATCTGCCTATGGAACTTCTAGAGACAAAAGGAAATTACTTACTATTTTAACACCAACCACTGGGGCTTTGGGAAAAGAAGATTCCTGTCTCTGACTCCCTCTGGGACCCTCCTAAGCCTTCCCAGGGTGCTCAGTCAGAAAATGCACAGAGCACTGTGCACCAGGATGTTATTAAAATAATTTAAAAATGTAAGCCCCAGGGAGCTGTGAATTGGGAGAGGAGTCACACACTGATAATACATAGTTTTGTAAAGCTTAACAGAAGAAGAAAAACTGCCCTGAGAACAAAACTGACTAAAATTTCCCCTTTCAATTTTAATATTGATCAAGTAAATTTCTAAAATCTGAGAATATATGCTCAGCTAAGTGTACATTAAGTGTACATGACGATGTGTGCACATACAGAGGCACACGGGAAATTTCCCATGCTACAGGAAGCTTGACGAGAAAAATAAGAGAATGGAAAGCGGATGAGACCATGAAACATGGCCAGTGTGGGAGAAGACGCAGTTGGACTGAACGAGACAGATACCACCTAGGCTATGGAGCTTCTGTCTTTTCTGGAGTGAGTTAGCTCTGATCTGGATTTGAACTTGCTACTCTAAGGCACTTCATATATATTTTGCTACAGTTAACTGTGCAGCCAGATGTTAATTTTTTTTCTGGTCTCACCTGAGGCGTCAAAGCTGAGAAAAACATGTCTCAATCATTCCACATTCTGAAAAGAGATGCAGAACTGTGCATATAGTCCATGTGGTGGCCCAAAACTGGTTCTGAGACTATTCACTCACCTCTGGAGTATAATAGAAAATGTTAATGATTTACAGTGAGAAAAAGGTTGAGGATTTATCAGGCAAAGTTATTGGAATGCTCTACATTCCTTTCCCACATCAAAACAAACAAGTGTCTTGGAGAGAAATAATCAGAGAGCAAAGGTGATCTGCTGGAATGAAGACTCACATCTATCTCCCTACCCTTACGCCTGCTGGGGGCTTTCTGAGCTGCAGAAGCTCCCTGGGAAGCCCTAGGGGAGTTCTCTGGGGAGAGCATTCAATGTGTGCCTCCCAGAGTTTGTAGGAGACCAACACTGACACTAGACGCTCGCCTGGGCAGGTAGGAGCAGCCCCTGCTGGCCAGCTGAGGGGAGCTCTTGTGCCAGTGGTTAGGGCATGACACTGACCTGTCCCATGGCCCAAGATGCTTCCAGAAGTAGCTAGGATTGCATCATGGGGAAGGCCCTACCAAGAACCCTGCCTACCAGTGGATGCAATTCTAGCAGAAAGGAACTTTGGGGTATCCTGGAACAGAAGGCACAGGGTGCCACAATCGAGTACAGGAGCAGAGCTCAGACCTTGCCAGGGAACCACAGGCTCAGAGTGGACAGCAGGTCTGTGAGGTTTCTGTAGGTACCGTGAGAGAGAGAGACAGAGCCAACATGCCCCCACTGCTTATCAGGAACATGGCACTAACCCAGATGGCTGCTGTCTCATCAAGAAAGAGTTTCTAACCCTTTATGTCTCCCCTTTCCAAGTCCTGGCCTCCACCCAAGAGGAGGAGCGAGGAAAACCAGGCAGGCTGGCATTCTCCTGCTCCAAATTCTCAAGCTGGTGATAGCCTCTCCATAGGGAAGGATGGACGTCTTGGGTGTCATGAGAAATTGAAATAGGAAACAGTCTCAACTTTCTAAATTGCTAAAAAATGAGCATGTCCTACTGAAACTAATGGAAAAGATGGGAAACCTGTTTGACAAAGTGTTCAAGGGTGAGACGGGAGATTTGATAAGCTAAGAATGTGTCCAGAGGTGAGGCAAAAGACAGCGAAGTTAATTTTTTGCTTATGAATGGAAGTGAGATGTGCACCATGATTACCGTAATGTGGGGTAATCATTCATAAGCACATCTGCATTTGCCTTCTGTAGATTCTTAACAATTGTCCCTTCTGCACAGAGCTATAGCTGCCAGGGGTCCTGTCCTGCCTGGCTATGGCGTTAGGGTTTTAGCACTCACAGTGGAGAACACAGGAGAAGGTCATCCTTGCCCAAAGACTTGCTCCAGCCTGTTTGCTCCACATTTAGCCGGCATAAATATATAAGAGATCAACTGGGTTGTTGACTAAGGAGGAAAATTCCTATCATAAAGAATAAAACTAGCCGGGCATGGTGGCTCATGCCTGTAATCCTAGCATTATGGGAGGCCGAGGCAGGTGGATCACTTGATGTCAGGAGTTCAAGACCTACCTGGCCAACATGGTCAAACCCCATCTCTACTAAAAATACAAAAATTAGCTGGATGTGGTGGCAGGTGCCTATAATCCCAACTACTCGGGAGGCTGAGACACAAGAATCGCTTGAACCCGGGACGCAGAGGTTGCAGTGAGATGAGATGGCACTACTGCACTTCAGCCTGGGTGATAGAACGAGACTCAGTCTCAAAAAAATAAAAAATAAATAAATAAAACGAAAGAGTCAATACTTTAGAGCAAGTTACAGATATGGGAGTGGAAGGGGAATGTGTCAAAAACACCTTCAAGGAGTCACGTTGAATCATTGATAGTGGTAATACCATTAAGAAAATTAGAAAAAGATCTATAGAGAACCTGTCTGGAGAGGCCCCTGACAAAGCGTTGCTTATATGTGTTGACTGATGCCACGGACATCCAAGCAGATGATAGGAGCAGAAGGTTAAAGAAGTTAAAGGTAAAGGAGTAAAATCCAAGGAGAGAAAGAAATAAGCCAACACTTAACCCATTTATGAAGCCTGGGTGGGGAGAGAGAGAACTGACTCCTAAGTTTAGGTCCTGTTTGTCATTACAAAAGCTAGACTCACACCAAGTGTTATAAATGCTACGAAGTAAATCCTACAGGAGCACAAATGAGGAAGTGATTCCTTCTGGGTGGGAGGCAGTCAAAATTTAGCTGACTCTTGAAGGATGAATGACAGATATGCGGACAGATTCAGGATGAACCTCAGGAGAGAGCTTCCAGCAGAAGCTGCGATGTGATGTGATGCCAGTTGTAGAGGCAGGAAGCCCGGGGCGGCTCACGCTGCCAGCCTCTGGGGTCTGAGGAGGGCACACAGAAAAGCAACTTGGTTGCTTTTGGATAAATGTCACCAGATCAGATGGGAGACAGGGACTTGGCTCTGGTACTAATTTTTGTGAAGTAATGGATCTGTTTGTTTATGGTGCTAAGAGAGGCAGAGGGCTTTGATGAGAACTGAAGGTTTTTCGGAACGAAGCAACAAGGTGATAAGGATGATAGACGGGAAGATGAAGAAAGAGTCCTCCTCCTCTCCAGAAGGGTTTCTGTGGGAGCTCATGGCAGTGGGAGCTCATGGCAGAGTGATAATAAGAGCATAGCCAGCCCTGTGGCAAAGGGGAGGGCGAGGGAGAGGCACACAGGCTCGGGGACAGATCAATTGCCAGACGAAGGAAACAAGGTGAAACTGAAGACAGCTCCCAGTTGTTGAGCCTAAACGTCAGAATCATGGTGAGGAGCACAGATGGTTTAAGAAACAAGGAAAGACTCAATCTTGTATTGGACATGAATACAAGGCATTGCTGGGACACCTAGATGCACACCGGGAGCCAGCTGAACGAAGGTAGAGAGAAAGTTGAAACTGCACTCGAGATGGGAGAGTTGAAGCCACAGATCTTAGATGGGTGGTTCTCAGACTTCAGCCCACCGCCGCAGCACCTGGAGGGCTCCTTACAGCACAGACTGCTGGACCCACACCCAGAGCTTCTCAGCCAGCAGGGCTGGGAGGAAATTGGCACTTCCTGTGCAGGAGATACTGGTGCTGCTAGTTGTCCGGGGACCACACTTTAGAACTACTGCCTTAAAAGTCACTGAGGAGGCAGTGGCTCAAAGTGTGGTCTCTGGACAACTAGCGGGACCAGTTCTTTCTATGGGGAAGGAACTGAAAAGAACTGAAAGAAAAACAGGCCCCCGCCCTCAAGAGGGCGGGAAAAAAAGTCAGCCCTTTTCCCCTGAGAGTCTGGTTTAGTTGGCCTGGGCCCAGATGATGTCATCGGTATTTTTATTGCTCTCCAGGTGGTTCTGACATGCTTCCAGGGTTGAGAAACACTGATTAAGGAGGAGAAAAGAAAGCAATTTATTTAAAAATTTTTAAAAGAAGCAGACAAAAAGCCCACTTTTTTTTGGCACTGATCTAATTCTCTTTTCTTTCCTAAGGAAAAGCAGTTGAAACACCATTAGTTAACAGATTGCCCAATGAAGTCGATGACAACTGTGATAAGAAATTACTCACTATCACAGTGTCTCCAAGAGATGAACAGTGGATGATGCTTCCAAAGCACAGATGTCCCTCTCCTCCTCAACCTTCTTTCCCCAGAAAGATGTCAACACCGTGGAGATTGTGCCATGAAGACACCTGGTGTGGCATTGCAATAGATGAAATATTAAGGGCAATTCTACAATTTTTGGAACAAATAAATGGATTTAACTTGAAGTTGAGTTTAATTTGATTTCAAGAAAGATTATATTTCTGGTCCTCCTATGATCATGTACTAAGAATTATTTAACTGCAGATACAATTATCTTTAGAACTAGAAGGACTCATTTTAGAATTAAAATGAATGACAACCCAGACAGATAAAGTCGAGTCGTGATCATCCCACTGCGGAGGCAGAGCCAGTGCTGGCCGTCCCCCTACCACCCCAACACACTCCAGGTCTCACACATTTAATCCCTGTCTCTGCCAAGGGAGTTTTTTCTTTCCATTTATTCTTAGAAATAATTAAGGGAGTTTTAAGTTAAATACGTGCTGCCAAATTGAATCCAAGGAAACTAAAGTCAAATGCATTAGCAAACACTTAATGTCCTCTCCATTTTGACATTTCTCCCTCAATTCCGATTTCTGAGTAAGGGCTGTTCAGATGAATGAAAACATATTTTCAGAAATCTGAGCTCCTAAGACCTACAGGACTGTGAAGTCGCAGACTGTGCGCTTTCAGCAGTCAGCAACTCTGCTGGGTTGAATTGGCATGTTTCAAACTATGTATTTTTGTTAAAAAGGATGTGTAAATGCACTTACGAAATAAGTTGTACTCTTTCCTAGTAATTTATAGTTGCCTTCACAGTACCCGGTTCCCGATTTCACACCAAGCCCTGCTGAGGATATGAGAGTAATAAAAAGGGGAGCCCTAGCTCTTCTGCTCCTGCAGTGTCTTTCCTGGAAGTGGACTGCGAGAAGAGCTTCAGCCACCTTTTTCCTGCAGACAACCTCCATGAATTTGCCTTAGAAGAAGGCTTCAATTTGAAGAAAGTCAAATAAAACCAGGTAGGCTATCATTACTGTAGATGCAAAAGAAGGTGAACCTAGATTCAGATCTTAAGTCAGCCATTCTGCAGGGAACTCTTAGGTGTCCAAGTCAGAGGCTCTATTCAAACTACCTCATCAGTATTGGTACCTTAGTTGTTACAAATATACCACACTCATGCACACTGTTAATAATAAAAGGGGAACTGGAGAGGAGGGGGTGGTGTATATGAGAACTCTGTACTTTCTCTGTAATTTTTCTATAAACCTAAAATTGCTCTAAAAATAAAGTGTATTCAGAAACAACAACAACAAAAAAATCATCTATCCTGAGTAAATATTACATAAGATTTATCTACGTTTTTACCTACTTCTTCAAATGTGCTGACCTTCACTGAAAATATTTTATTCATTTTGAACATTCTTGTCACTCCATCGAAACGCAGTCCTCCTGGTAATTTTGTTTTGTGCTGTATATCCAGTGTATTCTACATCGGCGAAAGCTTTAGGGTAAGTTTCCCAGCCAACCAACCCCACTAAATGCCCGCATGCTGAAAGCATAGTAAAATAGTCTCTTTAACATCACAGGTTTCAATTGCACAGGTTTTTATATGTGGATTTTTTTTTTCAATCAATATATTGGAAAAATTTTGGAGGTTTTTAACAATTTTTAAAAACTCACAAATGAATTGTGTAGCCTAGAAATATTTTTACAATTACAAAATGTTAGATATGTTATGAATGCATAAAATATACACATTAATCTACTGTTTATGTTATCAGTAAGGCTTCCAGTCAACAGTAGGCTATTAGTGATTCAGGTTTTGAGGAGTCAAAAGTTATGCATGGATTTTTTTTCTATGCAGGCGTTGGCTTCCTTAATCCCCTGCTGTTCCAGAGTGACCTGTACACATTTATTTCTCTCTCTCTCTGTCTCTCTCTGTCATACACACACACACATATCCACACACAGGCACGTCCACATTACCAGAAGCCACATCAAAGAAAATTAAATGGAAAATCTCAGCAAATGGTATGAGGTGGGACTCTAGGATATTTATTTTTAAAATAGTATTGAATGTTGTGTATATGATAATTCAAAGAATAAAATGGCTAACATAGAATGTGGAAAGTCATATTAAACGAATTCATTTCAGCCTATTGAACTGGAGTCACAAGAAGAAATTTTTAAAGACTACTCATATATGCCCCTTTTTTATTAACCCTAATATAATAGAGATAGAATTTAAATTTCTGTTAGATTCCATATTTCACAATTGATTATCAAGTCTTAGACTCCTAAGTAGGGGCTCTGTAGACTCAGCTTTCTCTTTTTTTCCAAGATGGGATTTCTCTGCTCATTAGGTCATTGTGTTTGCAATTGATCCATGGAGACAGCAACATCTGCGAAGCTTCCATGCCACGGGGCTTCCAACTTCACATGTATCCCTCAAAGGTATCCTGAAACCACCCTGTCCATCCAAGTACTCAGTTGTAGGATTCAAAAGCAAATTGCAGGGTTTGTTGCCTGGCAGAGAAGCATAGACACAAAGCATGAGAGCAAAATCTATGAGTTGACCATATCAGAAAGAGATAGTTAAGAATACCAGCTAAGAAATAGGCAATAAACTTAAACAGTAGGCTTCTGAGTAGACATAGCAAGTGCTGGGTAGAGATGACAGCTTCATGTCCTATTGGAGCTAAGTCAGAAAGCTGGGTCGAAGTGAACGTGAGGGAGCAAAGGCCATTAAAATATTTAAGGAGCAGCTCCAATATTTTTAAAACGTGAAGGAAAACTTGCAAGCAATCTCCGGGACTGGAGGGAGAGAAATGCAAAGCTCCCTGAGCCTGCTCCACAATTATCTTACGCATTCCAATAACGGACATGCTGCTGAATGTTATGACTATTTGTTTATTGTTGACTGTTCTTGGCACTGCCCAGTGTAGCCGAAGATTCCTTGCCTGCAATAAAGGCTTACTCAGACAATAAGCCAGGGAGAAAGAAAACTGTCCTTGAGAATAATGGCATTTCAGAGGGAAAGGAATTCCTCCAGAGGCAAAGAAACCCCCATGCACCGCAGAATTCGAGTTCAATATCTCCTATGTCTATCTGTGAAAGCCGTCATGGAACCCCAGGGCAGGAGGGGGTGGTACACAATGGTTTGTGTTGTAATTCCCTGTTTTCAGACACATTTTTCTGAAAGCATAAACTTTGCTGGCTAGGATTGTATAAACCTAGTGGGATTTTTTACTTCTTCTTGGAAGGCATTTGTCTCCTAGCATCATAAAACTTAACAGTCTGCTTTTCATGGTAACAGTGTGGCCTTGTAGTCCCTGATCCTAAGTGTGTATGTGTATAATGTATAATTTCCCTTTGTTTCCTCTGAATTCTCCCTCTCCATCCTTTGTCAGTCTAAATGGACTTTAGTCTCTAATTTCTCTCTCTATTTTCTCCAGCAATGTACTAATTTTGCTTCTCGATTACTACTGTGCCTGGCTTTGAGGTTGCCATTTTAATTTTAGCAAATGCTTGGATTTATGAGAACCATCAAAATGGCGAGATCACTGGGCTCATTGCCCTTCCTGGGACTCTCTTTTCACTTTGGTGTTGGCTGTGTTAGTGATTTGATATCAGACCAATCCATGAACCCTTCATTTTAAACCAGGGGCCCGAGGGAAATGAATAATGCCACCAGAGAGAAATGAGAACTCCAAAGCTATTATTAAATGAAAACATACTCTCTCTTAGACCTGGCAATCTGTACTAAGACATTCAGATTGCGTATCTAAATGTTATTCAACACACTCACAGCCATAGTCCTTTGATGCCACTAAGGTGGTACTTAAAAAGGAGCAGGTTCCACGTCAGCATTCCCAGCATCATCCCAGATAATCAAGACCATGCATCCTCTTCAGGATCCTGTTTCCCTGGCTGCTTCTCACCCCTGAGCCTCACTGCCCCACTGTGCTCTTCACTACTCTTTCACTAACATGCAGAAACAATGTTTTTTTTTCCAGTGCCTTTAAAATGTGGCCAAATTCTCCACCAAACTTCAGGAATTATTCATTACCTCACGTCCTTTATCCAGAACAACAGCTGAGCATGTGTTTCAGTGAGCTGAATATTCTGGCCCAGCCCTGCTGTGTCATGCCCGAATGACGATTTTTTAAAATGCCAAAAACGAGGAAAGATAAAACACTTCTAGGGCCATTTTGAGAGCTCAGCCCTGTGACCCTTCTCAGCCTCCTCTGACCTTTCTTTCTCCCGCATGCTCTGTGCTCTGCCTGTGTCTGGTCAGCCTCCTTCTTGACACTGATGCAATTCCATGACCCAGAACATTGGCCTGGCTTCCCGCTGCACAGGACGGGAGGGGACACCTGGAAGTGCCTATAAGGCAGCTCTTCTAAGGTGGAGGGAGGTAGGAGGAAGCAAGGTAGATGGAAGAACCCCTCCCTCCCTCTCCAGAATTTTCTGAGGTGCGATGCCTCCCATCAGCTCTCCTGGAGAAGTCCTGTGGACCATAGGGCTGCCTGCTAAGAGGCTGGTGGGTCTCCTGGGAGCGCCTGGAGCAGGGGCAATGCTGGACATCACACCACTTCTACTTCACAGTGTTCTTGTCTCACCTCCCTTATCCTCCACCCTCACCACCTCATGAAGGACTGGCACCTACTTCTCACCCCAGGCTCTGCTTTGTGGAGGATGCAGGCTGGCTCAAATGTCCTTCCTGCAGGACATAAAGGTCAGCCTTGGAGAGCTCAAGGGACGTGAGCATTGAGCTGTCCAGCAATGTAGAAACATGCACACTTCTCTGAGCTTCTGAGTGTCCCGACCTGTTGTGGAGTTTGGGGTGGAAAAAGGATGACCGACGATGAGACAGGAACCTCAGAGCCTGTCAGTCACCAAGAAGGCAAGTGGACTTCTCCTCTGAGGAGCAGAGAGGAGAACCACCTGTGTGGCCTCTTTCTCAGGTTTAACTTCATTGGAATAAAAGCTGCATATGGCACTGTGTATTGATCAGGGTTCTTTAGAGGAACAGAACTAATAGGACAGATGTGTCTAAAAAGGGGAGTTTATTAAGGAATATTGATTCACACAATCACCAGGTGAGGTCCCACAATAGGCTGTCTGCAAGCTGAAGGGCAAGAAAGTCAACCCAAGTCCCAGAACCCCAAAAGTAGGGAAGCTGACA